TACAATTACAATTACAATTACAATTTATCACTTATAGAGCGCTATTTACAATGACAGATCAACAGCGCTTTACAATCAATCCTAACCCGCCCATCCCACCCCAGGGGAGGACATCCATCACACAGTAATCTCGTGCGTGGGAAATTAACGTCTCCTACCCCTAACCCTGTAGGAGACGGGACCTCCATTTATTCGTCCCTATCCGAGAAGACTAGAATATCTAACCATTTCTTGATGTTATAGAAAGGAAGCATATTCTTCTCAATTATTTTAAGACCTTGAGTGTCGGTCCGGCCGGGGCTCGAACCCTCGACCTCCCGCACAACAGTCCAGCCCTCTATCCAAGCTGCTGAAGTGAAACAAAGTGACAACCTGGTTCACTGTAATTGTTCAAACGGAAAAAATTTAGATAGACAAAGCAACTGCTCTGACAATGAAAAAAGGCAACTGAACCAAGGCTTTTTGGTATTTAAAGGTAAGTTCCTCTCTGTAGTGAACAATTTACCTTGACCTTTGAGAGAACCTTATTGTACCTACAGATTACTTTCATTTTTCTTCACCTGCCACCTTAACCCCAGCTTTCTTGACCACAACAGGTTGCTGTTTTTGCTTGTCACGAGAAACTGAAGTCTTCTTGACCGCATTAGTACCTCCACTTCCCCCATGCCGTCTTGCAAATGTTGCTACACCCTGAGGCAAAATAGGGGTGGATGCTCCCACGTGAACAGCAGGGTCAACCCCTGCCATGCCATCTGCTGGAGTTGACGTGACTATGCCTTTTTGATTAGATGTGTGTCTGATAAAGGGTGTGATGACATTAAGGCCAAGTGTGCTGTTGTTGGAGTGTGTGAGAAATGACTGGTCTCTTGACTTTGCTGATGTTGCAGAGGGCACTTTGACTTTCTTCTTTGGGGGTAGAGGTACTTCCTACCAGTAAATATCACAGAGTAAGAAATCTGTTATTTATCAGAAGTAACTCCATAATAGATTACCAAAGGTAAGAGCTAAAATTTTTCATATAATGTAGTTACTATAACAGGGGAGTGATTCGCATCGACTACTTCAATCATGAAACCACCAAACTGAAATCTACCACATAATGTTACTTAAATGAAGTAACAACCACTTTGGAGCCATTTTGAATTGAGTGTTGAAAATAATCCAACATTGCCAAGGTTGTGCTTTACTTCACTCTAGAATTGGAAAAAAAAAAAAACTTGTGGCACTCTCTCAACCAATCAGATGCAAACCTAGAACCATTACAACTTGGTCACAAGTCTTTTCCTACACTTTAGGCAGTTTGTTTTTGGTTTTAGTTTACTTCTCATCAGTCCTCAGTGGTATATTCCTTTCTTCTGATAGGTTGTTGTGGTAAATTTGGTTTTTGTTTTCAATTGAAAAGCACTCTTAAGGGTATTCTGAAATTAAGATTGGCCTTAAAAGAGGAACTGTCCAGGTTTAACAAGTATACAGCTTACAGTACACTTTTTACCTTCACTGCTACCTTTTTAGTGACCTTTGGTCCAGTGGCCATGTATCTCGATTGGACAATGCGAGCTAAAAGGAAGCACATTTAAAACAATTTTTACATTTACAGTCAAATGCTGCAGCTATAATAAGCCCCAGGGAGCTGATTAATTTCCATTCCTTTCAGTTAGGGGGCAAATTAGAATGATAGGTAGCTCAAGTACTGAAACACTTCAATCATCTTCTGAATTGTTACTAACATCTAATGAGAACTTTACACAGTATGTACTTCCTTGGTTGAAAACCTGTATCAATTTGGTTGCCCACCAGGAATGGCAGGGTGTTTAATACTATACAAGTTGACCACAGGTTCCACAGAATGGAAGTGTTACAAAAGACCATTTTTTGCCATAATTGACAAATCATAAAAAAAAAAAATACCAGTAATAGTTATTTCAGGAGATTAAAACATGAATTAAATTTTACTTAAAAGATTATTTTTTGGGTTTAAATTAGTGGTTATGCTTTAAGTGACCCTTCAATACAGTAGGTGGGGACAATACAATCAGGCCAGTGGGACTCAGTAGAGGGTAACCATGACTGCTTACTAGAGATGACTGCTTAATAGAAGTGGAAATTACAGTAATGAAGGGAGGGGGAGGAATTTTGGGGCTTTGAAAATTGACCACTTAATACAGGGTGACCACTTAATATGGTACTGCTTAAGACAGGTTCAACTGTATATAAAAATGTTTGCATAACCCTGGCACTCCTATTTAGAGTTTTCCTTTGGGAGTATGGGGGTTATTAGAGAGGGGACACTCGCTAGAAACTTAAAGTTCTAGACACAAAAGAAGGACATATTAGGGAAAAGGTGCAAGTGTTAGAGCCGTTACAGAGAATATCAGTTCAAACCAGCTTCTCATGCTAAAACATACCCTGAAGTAATGCATGTTTCATAAGGTTTACTTAAATAGTAATTGGGATGATTCAGTAATAAAATGAGAACTGAAATTTGGTAATGATTATAGACAACTGTGACCATAACATGAATATTACATGTCAAATGACCCAATATATGCCTTTAACCCTTTACACCCTAACATCAGTATGCATATTCTCCCTACTGTTCTCCATACATTTCCCAAGGAGCTGACAAGGAGGATTTGAATATTTCAAAGAGAAATTAGATGCAAGTCATTCATGGGGGTCAAAGGGTCAAGTTGAACAAAACTTACCAGTTTTTTGTTTCTTTTTCTTTGTTTTCAAATTCTGTTTTTCTCCTGCAGGTAAACTATAATAAAAGTAGACAGGAAGTCAATAGTTTTATTATTCAGTATTGAAATATTCATTAACAATTGCCATTGTGGATTAAATTGTTAAACACCAACGAACATTATCCTTTTGAAGCACACCATTGAATCATCATAAATATAAATGACATCTTAAATATTAGCATCACACCACATTTCAGGCATTATAGTAAGTATTGTTCAAAATTGTATTAAATGAATTAGCTAAAATACTACAAGGGCTCTTATTGGTCAAAATTCTATCATTTACTTAACTTTAAACCCATCACTATTTCACAGAGGTAACAGACCACACTCCCTAACAATTCACTGGCATAATATATCACTTGAGATGCTGGCAGAACACTTAAAAAGTTTGCAAATCCTTAGCTGAAGTGAGTAATTCACAATTTTTTCTTTTCTCTTAACACTCAACAAAGATCTGTAATGAATCCAGCCCTTAAATTACAACAATTTTTACTTACATGGACTGGTCACCATCTGGTGCCTGGGAATGGGAATCTGAAACTGAGGATTATGCAATCATGATTACATGTTTTCTAATTCTTTATAATATACCTCACAAACAACAACGTCAGGTTAAGAGCAGAACCCTGTTAAAACCTCTATCAAACAGATGCCTGTGAGACAAAAGAACTTTATTTTGAAGTTTCCTTATCTTCTTAACTGAGGTGGGAGCTGAATATGGGTGTAACCTACCCTATGTAAGAGAACAAAAGGGGACAATAGCCGATGTTCATTGAAAATAGGATGTCCACTCTATATTGGATCTACATGTACTAACAGGTCACTTGTTGGTATCACTGTTTCAGTAATCAAATTTTCAAATACTAGTACTTTAAAAAGATATGGAGTGAATTACAAGGTAACTCTGAGAAATCCCTGCTATCTTTATACCAAGTCATGACAAGTTTCTTTACCTGATGAGAAATCGAAAAGTTGTTGCTTTATCTGAGGCGTGGATAAATGAGATGATGGGGGTGGAGCATAGAAACCATCCTCCCCCAAAAAACTTTTAAACTCTTCTCTAGGTCTACTAATCTGTTGTTGATTCAATGTAGCTTCAGCACCTTTTCTATCATAGTCCATAAAGGTTTCTTCACCAGATCCCCTACTTTCTTAATTGTTGAAAAAAAACATAGTATTTTTGTTACTAATGATATCATTGCACATTATTCAATAGTTGAAATAGATTGATTACAGTATTTTATGATATTAATATTCCCCTTCCATAAGTTTTTATAATGATAACTGGGTTTCAAATTGAGATTGCAGACTTAACCCCCCCCCTCCCTCCAATGAATTTGACCAGAAAAGGCAGTCACTAATGTTTTGACAAAGAACACTCCTGAAAGACCTAGGAAAAATGCATAATTCTGAGCAGCGTAGGGAAACTCATGGCAAGCTTAAACATTTACCGCTTGTCATTCCTTGAAGCTAGAACTAACCAAAGTGTCATAAGCAATAAAAGCAACATAACGCATCAGCTCTTTTCCTTCTTGAGACATCACTCTTGTAACTTCAAGATATTTCAAATCAAACAAACAAAAATTGTAAAAATGTATGACATGAAACCAAACTTAACCTGGACTAGAGTGTGACAAGTCTTTCTTTCTTACACTGGACTCCAGAAGATTAACTCTAGGTATACCAGCTACTTTCACTTTTCTTCCTTCTTCTAAATCGCCAGTAACATCAGTTAAGTTGTCTGATCTCTGGACAACAACTGAGTTTTCTAATGTACTTCTGTCTCTTCCTAGATGTCGAGGGGAATGGCACACAACTCTCACTGGAGACTTAACAATTCCTGTCACAACTGGCACTTCAGCAAGATCAGGGCTCTTATGCTGTCCCCTTGCATCCACCAAAAGAACAGGTGAAGTTTGTTCTGATTCTCTCTCTTCAGTATAGGTTGAGTCGGGGATATGTCTAAGATTCAACCAGCAGAAAAAGGTGAAAAATATGAGAATAGTATTTTCAAATTGTCAAACTGCCATTTTCCTACAGCCTCCTTAAAATCTGACCATAAAGCCTGAAAAGTCCTCCCTCAAAAGGAAGACAATTCAAGATGAGAAATCACACACCCCCCTTAATGACTCTCTCCAGAGCCCACCCTCTCTGTCATGTTACCATAAAATCATTGTCATTTGAAATCTAATGTAGACCTAAGATTGAGCTTAGATCAGGGTTAAAAAAGTAAACATTATGAAAAAGGGATGAAAAAGTAAACATGAAGCTGTAATGATTTGCTTACTACTTTGATAAGTGAAGTAAGTTTTAACCGTATTCCCAAACAGGCTTTCCTCTTTAAGTTATCACCATCGATTTTTGCATTTAACTCTTTAACTCCCAGAGGAGATAACATGCATGTGATTGTCACTTGTCACAATTTCAAAATATTATCCAAACCTAGATAAACAGATGAACTCATCCGCTAAAAAATAGTGTTATCTTAATAAAACAACATAAGTGACTCTTTTAACTTATTAACAAGGAGATACATAGAGCCTATAGAAGTGATACAAATACAAATATATACGGCGTTCAAGGGTTTTGAACACTCAAAGATAGCGATTAACGATCGATCTGCAACAGCAACGATCTAGTTAAGAACTAAACTCGATAATTTTCTTTACATCAAGCAAATTCTCCATAGATCCATCAAATAAGATTAGCTTACGTCGAAGTAGGTCTAACAGAACTCGGTGCACTTGATGGAAAACCAGTGATAGGCTTTGAAACAAGAAAGCCTTGGGCGAGCGATTTCCTGTGGAAAAACACAACAGATACGCAATGTCAACGCGTCAAAACAAACAAGTTAAAAATAAAAAACACAGCAAAAGCTTTGGTAAAGGCATTTAGTACCTTATCTGCGGTGGAGGCGTTTGCGAAGGCGCTGGATTGTACAAAGATCGCTTTGAATTCGCCGCCATCTTTAATATTTGCTCAAAACAAATCTCGCGCTAATTCGTACCCAGTCTTCTTTCTCAATGCAAAGACAAGAAACTGAGCGGGGTGGGGAAAGTAGCGGAATAGTTTTTTTTTTTTTTTTTTTTTTTTCATTACAGATGTGACTTGGAAAAATTGAATTGTATACCAGTGAATAAGGGAATGCTACCAAAATTTAATAATTCAAAAGGAAATATTTTTAGCTATGTTTACCAAGTTTAAAGGAGGGCTGGGGAGAGAGGTATGTGCTATGATTAGGTTGGATCAGTGAGTAGCGAAGATGAAGCAAATCTCCTCCAAGTGGACCTCTTCTGACCACTCTAGTATGATTATCTCACTTGCTTTGGTAAGATGGGTTAACTCAGTTTACAGATGCAAATTATGGAATCTTACTTGAAACCTCTATTATAAATACACAAGCCCAAATGGCAGAGTTGGTTGATATTTTTATTATCACTATGATGTTTTTATGATAACTTTTATTTCTATTGTATGTAACTGCATAGGAAACCACCCATGAAAGTAGGAAATAGAAAATGAAAATCTTAGCCAGTGGCCATCAACGAGAAAACAATAATTTTTTTGTCTCCCCTTGGTTGACAAAGGTGGGTCAGGACTGCTATGGCTTTTCTATTGCTACACTCTGGGCTTCGTTGAAAAAAGTCTACATCACCATTTCAGCCAACAAATGTAAAACTAAACCAAATTTGATTCATTCGGTCATTTGCATTTCAATTGCTTAAAACCATTTCCTTGTATCCACTTTGAATTCTTGATGATATCTAGATTAAATCTGTTATTTTTCAAAAAACTTTCTCTTTTACTTAGATTGCTTAGTGTGAATACTTTGGTTTTAATTTTTTTCAATCAAAATGTCTTGTCTTTCCTCCTTCCTGAGAAAACCCAGAAAGAGGGAATAACTACATGTACTCTTGTTACCATTAATTAACTCAGGTAGACCACTGTTCATAAAAAAAAAAATGTAACTAATATTTACTCAAAAGGTTTTGGCCATGACTTTGAATCATCCTTCCTCTTTAAATTTTTTTTTTTTTTTTTGCCCCATGCTCCGAGAGGAACATGAGAAGTGAACTGAATCAAAGTGGCAATGTCAACCCCATGCTAAATCCAGGGAGACAGAGGAGAGTTAGAAAATCTCTTCATCCTTTTGGAAATATATTATTTGAACAAACACAGAAAATCCAGGGATCACTCTTTAAGATAAGTGAATTAAAAAATTAGAGAAGTCCTTGAATGGCCACTGCTAAATTACATTCACTTTTTCATAATCTGAATGACATCTTCATCATTCATAGTATGATTGATTCCCACACGCTGTGGGCTGTACTTGGTGCTGGTGCCCCAAACTAAAGCATATTTAAACACATCTACTAGTGTCCTGTGAACAGCATGACACACATGTTCCACAGTGGCTCCACGACGAAGGATCAGTCCTCCATTAAAGTCAGGTGGATCACCTCTCTTCTTGGTGTAGACTCTGAGAAGTGCAAGATGTTCCCAAACCTGGGACAACAAGTAATCCAAGTTTAGCTCCATCTCACAGCTAACAACAACAGAATGCGGAAGGCGTGCCAAGCGATCAACTTCTTCTATAGAAATACAGTCAATTTTGTTGTAGACATAAACACATGGCAGGTAGATCCTGTTAGCGCAGATGACATCAATCAGCTGATCTGCTGTGCAATCTTCTCGAATAAGCACCTCTGCATTGAAGATCTTATACTCATGGAGAATCATCATCACAAGCTTCTCATCCAGATGAGTGAGAGAACATGTGGAGTTAAAAGAAATACCACCTCCTTTCTTTTGTTTGAAGTAAAGATTTGGCTTGGAACAGTTGAGGCGAATGCCACAGTCCTCCAATTCCTTTTCCAGTAGAACTTTCTGAATCTCCCCCTTAGCAGCATCTAACATCATCACGACCATGTCAGCAGTGCGAGCAACAGCAATAACTTGTTTACCCCTTCCCTTACCCTGAGAGGCACCCTCTATAATTCCAGGCAAGTCGAGCAGTTGAATGTTAGCCCCATTATATTCTATCACACCAGGAATGCATGTCAGAGTTGTGAACTCGTAAGAAGCACTAACACTGGTTGTGGTTGTTAACTTATTCAACAACGTCGATTTTCCTACAGAAGGAAAACCAATTAAGGCCACTCTGGCATCGCCTGATTTCATGACATCGAATCCCTCGCCCTTACCTCCCCCAGCAGATTTAGGAGGTTCTAATAGTTGCGATCGGTATTTTGCCAATTTCGCCTTCAGTAATCCCAGATGATACTCTGTTGCCTTATTCTTCTGAGTTCTAGCGATCTCCTTCTCTATTTCACTGATTTTCTCTAGGATTCCCATTTTGGATACTGGTTAAATGTTTGTCCACGCTGCGTTCGTCAGACTCTAATCTGCGTTTTTCAGACAAAATGGTGATATAAGAGTCCGCGGTAAATATTCAGCAGACTTTTGCAATATGCATGCGCAGAACCTAAAAGAAAACCCGGGAAACCTACCGCGAACTCGTCTGTCACCGTTAGGTAGTTTTCGCTAGATTTGATGTATGATATTTGTTCAACTTTCCTTCTGAACTCCCTCAAAGCACTCCTGCTCAGCTGATATGGGTGAAGACGGCCCTTCGGATGACTACGATCCACATGGAGATCGTAAGGACGATCCCCGCGAGAGACGGCGAATTCGACATGAATATCGCGAACTGATCGCTGAAACTCAAAGTAAGCACAGTGCTATCCTTTTGTTCTTATGCGTTTTAATTGTGCACGTGTCAACGAAAATTCGGATATCATGGATTATTTTCTTTTTTGGAAAGAATCACCATGTACGAATCATCCTGCAACGTTTTCAAAAGCTCTTCAATCCCAAGATTGACAAACAACAAATTTCTCTCTTCAGTACAGTGTATCACCCCTGAAACGAACATCAAGGATATGAGAATAAAGGAAATGATCAGTGATTAAAGAAGCTTTTGATTGTCAAACGATGGTTTCATAGAAAACGTTTAGAGAATTTGCATGTTAATGTTATGGTGTAAAAGGGTTACCTTAATTTTGATTAAGACGCTCTTACTTCTTTAATCAACAGGAAACAGACATGATTTTATCAAGCCTGAATCAACAGGCTTAAATCAAGCACTTGAGAAAGCTGAAGGGTTATTTAAGAAAGGTAAGATCTTTTTAATACACAAGACAAACCTTTGTAGGATTCTATGTCAGGGGGGGTTAGTTCAGGAGAGAATGTAAGTAGGGGATTAGGCAGAGTATCCTCTTTGCTTCCAGGCACATGTCCTTCTATAACACAGCTAAGCATGAAAAAATGTGCATTAAGTAGAACAAGATCCTGTAAATATCAACAGGAGGTTATATCTTCAAATTTCACAAAGTGGAATTTACCACGTATTTCCTTAAAGAATTGAGATCTGGAAACTTGGATGATAATATGCAAAAAAGAAAATCAGGGTATTATTGTTGAAGTCAGAAATACCAGAGCAATACAGTTACTGATGACCATTCGTGTTTTGCATTGTCACATTTTGGAATACAGACCAAGTGAATGTTTGTTCTTACAAATTTGGTCTCTAAGCTATTATGAAATAAGCTGTTGCCGGGAATTTTCCACAGCAACCCATACCAGAGAGGCTGTTCTGGACTCACATTTTCTAGTGTTGGCATCAAACCTTGGAAGTCAACAGGCTCAGCAGCTGCAAACACACTTAGTAACATTTGATCCTGATGTTTTTGTTGAGAAATTGGTAAGTTATACTTAAAGTACAGTTCATTCCTATACTGGGTGGGAAGTGTCATTGTCACTAAACTTTTTATGTAACTTTTTTTTGTTGAAAATGAACACACCCGTCTTTGTTGAGTCTTCAGGGCTCAACTTTTCAACATACTAGCCAAATGGCTAGTGACAACTCAGATGTTGCAACAATTTCAGTTTGTTTACTAGCCAAACTGGCCAGTGAAACTAAGAAATCACTAGCCAAAACAGAATTTGTACTAGTCTGTGGCTAGTTGGCTACTGTTAGTGTCAAAACCTGGTCTTGTTAGTGTAATATACTGGGAAATAATAAAAATTTGTGTCTGACTTTATCTTGTTGTATGTTATCTTGCCCAATTACCTCTAAGTTCCATGTTAACTTACTGCTGCAGAAAAGTTAAGGAAAAAAATGTTATTTGGCCATTATTTAGTTGCTGTTATAATTGTATTTTCTTGATTTTTTTGTAACCGTGAAATTTGTGAAGGGCTTTCAAAACATCCCTACGTTTTACCTGTATACATACTCCTTTGGTGATATGTTATTCAACGCATTGGTGGTTGAAAGGTTGTTAGTTTGTCACTGCTAGTGTTCTGATTTCAGACAATCATGTATTTACCTTCTTTTCAGCCATTAAATGTAATAGATATCCTATTTCTCACCCTTTTTTATTTTTAAACCCTCAGTTTTCAAATCTTTAATTTCAAAGAACCGTTACGCCCACTAATCCATCCTCTGCTTTATTAGATAACTTTTATGGGAGGCAGAAATGTTTCAGATATGACTGGAGGAGATGATGAGGATGAAGAGATGCCTGCTCAAAGGCGGCAACCCCCACGGCACCTTGACTGGAAGAAGCTTGGTAGAAAAGCCTGTGTAGCCTTTCGGAGAACTCCAAATGTTGACTTTATGTATGTCCAGCCTTTCAATAATACTATTCAATTCTGCAACTGTTTGATTTGTTTCATTTTTAAACAGTTAAGTAAGAGAATTTAAGATATGACATAAGTAAAAGAAAAGTCTGTTTATGAGCCAAGTGGCCCATCAGGCCAGCATTTAACTCTGATTTCTGTAGCATGAAGGTATGACATACATACATGCAATAATACTTTTAGAGTGAAATAATGTGATTCAAGACTGAGTCCGGTTTTTTTTTTAAGTCTTCCCAGTATGGAACAATCTAGGTGTTTTAATAACAGCATAAAATAAATTTATTTCCAGTGAGTTTTTATCTCAAAGGTTCCTTAGCAATGAACATAATTTTTAAGATCAGATTTCACTCAATCCACCTTAGATCTTATGGTTATATTTAAGATGCATTCACAGGCTTCTGTGTATGGGGATGTAATGGTGGTCTTAGATGATCATGCTTCATTTCAGGTTTGGTCCATTATCCATGGAACCTCCAGTTAAAGTACGGAGAGATAGAAACACTATGAAAAAAAATGAAAAACCTGATGCTAATCAGTTAGTGAAACCAAGACAGGTAATATTAAACTCTCTATTATGAACCTTTTCACTTTTATTTATGCATTTGTTTTACTAAAAGTTACAGACTGTTGAAAATGATAACCTATCTTGCTTTTTTTCTGTATGTGATTGGGTTGTGTTGTTATTACTATTTTCTCATTATCAGGGCTTGACACTAACTTTTCAACTTACTAGCCAAGTGGCTAGTGACATCTTAGATGTTACGACAATCTCAGTTTGTTTACCAGCCAAACTGGCTGGTGGAAATAAAAAACCAGTAGCCAAAACTGAGTTTCTGCTAGTGTGCGGCTAGTGGGCTACCGTTAGTGTCGAGCCCTGATAATTGATTAAAAAAGTACCTAGACTTCATATCACAACATTAAATGTGCATGACATGAGCAACTTGTGTGGACAGTGTAGGGTCACAAACAATCTTTCCAAATTGCAAAACAAAAGTACACAAATATTTTGAGAAAAGAAACAAGATGCTTGTGAATGGAAGTGTAACACTTTTTTTCTAGCTTAATTGTTACATTTAATTTCAGTGTTCATTTTTCAGGTATGTAAAGAAAATTATGCTATTGCAGGATAAAATTTTGATTTGTAGAATGCCCCCATTTTATTCTTTCTCTTAGTTGGAGAAGGTAGAAACTAAAGAAGAAGCTACTACTAAAGAAGTAGACAGACTACATCAAATCCTCTATGACAACACAGGTACATACATTAACTATGTGTAGCCTTTCAGTAATTCTACCCTTTAACTGTTAAATTTGGAGCGATTTGACGAATCTACCCCATAGCTGATACTTTTCTCCATTTTCATTACCATGATTTCCCGCCGTTTACCCGCAGGTAATCTGTTGATTTTGCCTTAAACATGCGCCACTGTGGGTAATAGGGAGGTGCAGGTTTGTGACAATTCTGAAATCTACAGGTAGTTAAATTGAAAAAAATTCCCACCTACCTGCGTTTCCACCACTTAGATGAATTTTATAGTATAAAATGCATGTAAACCCAAAAATAGATGTTTTTATTATGCTATGTAAAATTACTATTTCACTCTGACGAAGGGCTAACGCTCGAAACATCAGCTTTTGTAATCGTTACGGTGGCCAATTTACCATTTAAACTTTGTTGATATATTCAAATTATTTCGTTACCTCCACCGACGCAATCCCAAACAGTTTCTTTAGAAACTATCAGCCTTTATTCATATGTAAAAAGTGGTTTAGAATATGAATTTGCAATTCGTTTTGCCCAATTCGACTTCTTTTAGGGAGAAAATCGGCATTTTTAACTGAAATTCCACTATCAGCGAAAACAATAGCGAGGAGTCGTGATGTAAGCGGTGGAACAAAATATTGCACAACACAGTTTCCTCCGTAGAATTGATAGGGCAGCTCATGCAAGTAGCTACAGTTCGGACTATGTTTTTTCAGAAGAGAGTGACTCAAATGCCTTAAACTTATATGACAGTGATGGGGATACTTCAGAACCTTTTAGGAGAGTCTGGGCCACGTCCTTATCAATATAAGCCACGTAGGGTTCACCAAACGTTCCGCACAAAAGCAGCACAAAACCTGTTGACAGCGATACAGAGTGTTTCGGAAAAACAGACTGGTATTTAATCCATTGTGTGATTTATTTTTCATTTGGCATGAAAACCTAATAAAGTAAGTTGAAAATCTTAACGAATGCAAGATGATTTTTTAACATGAGCTTCTGTGGAGGCTAACCACCTCCCGGTTAACTCAATGGATTGAGCGCTGGACTGTTGTGCGGAAGGTCGAGGGTTTGAGCCCCAGCCAGACCAACACTCAGGGTCTTAAAATAATTAAGAAGAATATGCTGCCTTTTCTATAACAGCAAGAAATGCTTAGATATTCTAGTCTTCTTGGATAGGGACGAATAAATGGAGGTCCTGTCTTCTGCAGGATTAGGGGCAGGAGATGTTAATTTCCCACTCACAAGATTACTGTGTGATGGATGTCCTCCCCTGGGGTGGGATGGGTGGTTAACAGGACCCCCGTTGATACCAGTGTTTACTACACTGAAGGGGCTATCCTGTATAAATATAGATGTCTGTCTACTCTATATAAAATTATCAATGGTGGGAGTATGGAATTTGTCAGCTAATGCCGAAAACACATGAAACTGTCTGTTGTATGGAACTCAGGCAAGTGTGGTGAAGTGTAAAGGAACAAGAGCCTGAAACCAAGATAAGTTACTAAACATCCAGGTTTTCAAACAACCTGCCTCAATATCTGGGTGCTGGAGACAGGCTATTTCGCGTACAGGCAGCAGTACCTCACCAATAATCACACCCAAAACAAGTAAGAACAAAGGTATAGACAGACCAGCATGGACTCACCATATGGCTTTTGTAGTTGTCGCATTATTGCTTTCAAATTGCACTTTTTTTTCTCTCACAAGTGTGTCCTCAGTGATTTTTCTGTTTAAGTTTTCAGAGATAAGCGCATAATATATGAAAATGGTTTTCGACAAAGGCGGACTGTGTATCCAGGCGAATTGAGAGTTTGTTGAAGCCATTTCTTAGTCATACCATTGAAGTGTGTTTGCCTCGATACATTTGGTCAGTGATCTCATAAACCCTTTCCTACATGTTTTTTACTAAAGGTGCTTTCAGAGGTTTGAAGTGAATTCCGTTGTCAAGTTGCGCTTTGATGACTAATGACTGATGACTGTTATTGTGTTGCTTTTGTCAGGTTTAAAGCAAAGTTTTTTTTTTAGCCGTTACCTTATTGTGTTACGAATTATTTTATGACTTGGATAAGTAATCTCAGAGGGCTAGCTCTAAAGGGCAACAGAAGGCTGAACTGGTGTCATTCAGTTCGATATGAGGATGTGGCGCTTTGTTTTGTCCGTGAAAGGTGTTTTGGAGGTGCATTCAGCATTCATCCCCGAGAATAAATCTAGCAAGAGTTGGTTTGGTTTTACATTCGTTTGTCATGGGTGTTGGGATGAATTTGAGACCCTTTAATGGCCAGCTGACCTGGCTGTCAAAAGGCAAACAGTTTGAGAGGTTTTTAGGAATTTCTTATTTGTCTCCCTTTCTTTTCCTTTACTTTTGGAGAGCTCACTTCTCCTCAGTTGTTTCTCAGTTCGGTTGACCACCTCCAGATCCTCGCTATCTGCTGACTGCACGGGTCACTTTTTTACTTCAGAAGAATTTGAATAATTAGTACAGCACCAGGATCAGCAACTCTTTTAAGGCCCATTTCCACCATGTAGCTTTTCTCACAACAGTCGGGTGAAAAATGACTGCTTCAAGCAACAGAATGTTCGGACGGCTCGACAAACTTGGCTCTTCCCACTTGAACAAATTTAACCCTTTGTTGCTTCAAACATAGTTCTTTTGGAAATATATGCATTATGTGCCCGGTTTTGTTTGAATTACTACAAAACTGGACAACACAACGCTTTACCATTATGAAAAAATTGAATATATTCAACCAAATTATAAGTTTAAAAATTGTGACAAGACCAGCAAACAAGGGATGCGAAGGAGACTTAAAGGTATCTCGTGCACTTTTGACCTCCAGTACTGGAAGGTTCCACCCATGACGTCACAGGAAAGATGGCGCAATTCAAGATGGCGAATGTTTTGAATTTGGAAGAGCTTTTACATGGTGAAAATTGACTTTTGAGAAAAAACCAATTTCACCTTTGGTGTACTTGATATATTTGCTAAACAGCTATGTGAAAAGAAAATGTGTAACAATAGTGGTCCCAAAGACTAAAGAAAGACACTAAGGGTGATAGATAACAGGTTTCAATGGCTGCCTCAGAACAACAACTTGAAGCACATGGTTTTCTGTGTGTTATGTGATGTAAGACCACAGGCATACCATGACACCTTTTCTCCTTAAGGAAACTGTATAGCATGAGCATGAAAAACTAGCCAGAACAAAACAACAACATGAACAGCAATTGGAAAACTCTGAAGTGTTCAATGTCCTACTTAAAACTTTACAGTCTCCTATGTTTAGCAGATCAGAGCGTTTAATCATAGTCCTTTAAGTAAGCAGGGGGATGTGATACGTGTCCAGCCTGTGTGGTCACAGGTTCGCCTGGTTGGGGCTTGTTGGTTGTGGCGCTTAGAGGCCGGGCCTTGGTTGGTGTTACCACAGGGCGTGTGCTTGACTGTCCGAGCTAGTCCTCTCGAGTTGGCATCACTGGTAGTGACTGATTTTTTGGTAACTGAGGGGTGTGGGCTTTATGTGGAGAGGGTGAATGCTGTTATGAGGGTAGGTCTGTTGGAGCCTCATTACTTTGGGCCCACTAAATGGTTCTCTGCTCCTGCCAATGTATCTACAGTTTCTGCGGAGAATTCTTCCGTCTTCTGTCCTAACATTATAGGAGCATATATGAGCTGGCTCATTTACTTCTGCTTTGAACCACTTCTGGTTCCTATCACTGGGCAGTGGGAGAACTCTGACACTTTCCCCTTTAACCAACGGTGGGAGCTCTTTGGAGTTCTTGTCATAATAGAAGGCTTGTTTTCCTTTCATTCTGAGTACCTGCTCTCTTGTTGTAGTTGCGTCTGGAGTCTGCGGCTTCAGCAGTGTTTCAGCTGTGGGTAGCTGGGTTCGGGTATGTCGCCCAAACATATGCTGCGCTGGGGAGGTGCCCAAACCTTCTGTTGGGGTATTTCGTCAGCTGAGCAGGGAGGGATAGTAATCTGCTCCTGATTCTATGGCCTTCTTAAGTAAGTTTTTTGCGGTTTTTACTGCATTTTCTACCCGCCCATTGCTTTGGGGATAGCCGGGAGAGCTGGTTATGTGGTCGGTTTCAGATGAGTGCACAAAGTTCTCAAATTCAGAGGAGGTAAAAGGTGGTCTGTTGTCACTTAACAGTGAATTAGGTATTCCGTGGGTAGCAAAATGTTTCCTCAGTTTCTTTATGATGGTAGTTCCTGTTTTGCTGTGTAACTGATCCACTTCAAAGTACCCAGAATAATAGTCTACGGTATACAGATAGCTTTCGTCGTCCAGTGTGAAGATATCCGTAGCAACTTTCTCCCAGGGCCTTGATGGGGGCTCATGGGAAATGAGCGGTTCTTTGGTCTGGCAACTCTGAAATGACACGCAGATGTCACATTTCTGGATTTGGTTAGTGATTTCTGCATTCGTGCCAGGCCAATATACTGTTTGTCATGCTCTGCGTAAGCAGCCTTGTAATCCAGTAAGGGACTCGTGTACTGGTAGTTTCTGCTTGATTTTCTGTCTCAGGGTTTGTGGTATGATGCATCGTAAACCTTCGAATATGATGCCATCGTGTACTGAGAGCTTGTCACAGGTGCCAAAGTACTGGTGCATAGCTGCTGCGAGTTCATCTTTTGTATCTGGAAAGCCATCCAAGATAGCTTTCTTCAAAATCTGTAGGGATGAGTCACAAGCTGTCTCTCTTTGGAGTTCCTTGAGCTGATGGTCTGGAACAGGAAGGAAATGAGTGGCATGAATGCACTCCACTTGTATCTCCGTGGCTGAATGTCGATAGTCCTCCAAATAAGCTCTTGACAGGGTGTCAGCTATCAGCATTTCCTTGCTAGGTTTGTAGCGAATTTCATAGTCATACCGTTGAAGCCGCAGCAGTCTAAGCGCTGTAGTCTCTTGGGAGCTGATGCAAGGGGTTTCTGAGAGATGGAGACTAATGTTTTGTGATCTGTCCAGAGGATGACCTTCTGACCATAC